AAAAAAAAAAAAAAAAAATAAAAAAAAAAAACATACAGACGAATTGAGTACCTCCTTCTTTTGGGAAGTCGGTCAAAAACAATTACTTCTTTGTCCACCCAAGAGGTCCGAACTAATAAGAAGAGACTGCATTAGGGAAGATGTAGTTTTTAAACTAACTTTCGCCCGAAACTCCATTCGCGTGGTATTAAAAAATTAAAAATAAGCATCCTATGTGTTCTGCCAGACTATGCTCTACATCTATGCCTAATTTCATGCAGATCCGTTCAGTTGTTTAGGCTGCAAACTCAAAGGAACATCCATCCATCTAAACTTTCGCATTTATAATACTCGTATTAGTAAGATAAGATTCAGCGACAATCATTTTATTATACTTTACATAAGCCAGAAAGTAAACATGTTTTACCCGTAATACTGAAATCACTAGAAAAGCCGATAGATTTTTTTAATATTGTAAACTATACAATATAGCATATACTCGTATAATAGGTAATAGAACCATGATACATAAACAGTACAATGAAATATAAGCTGCATGTTTTATGTGAACAAAAGGAGATTCAACGTTCAAGTGATTTGAAATCAAGCGTTGCACCGTATTGCTACACAAGAGCATTTCTAATACCAATGTTCTACAGTGCTTCAATAGAAACTCTCGTGATGCTATCCAATGAATGATCTCGATATATCTCTGCTATTAGAACATTGTATTGAACTCAACCATTGTTATCTCAAACCACAAAGAGATGCAGCTTATTCTATTGTTTAATTATTAATATTGATAATAATAAAATCTTCTTACTAATATAATTGCGAAAGTGGTGGATTTTTGTTAGAGTTTGTAGCCTAAACAAGTGAACGATACTCGAAATCTGACATATGTAGATTATAGTCTGGAACACATAGGTTAATTATTTCTCTCTTTTTAATTCTACATGGACGGAGTCGCGGGCGAAAGCTAGTTTTTAAATAAATAAATCAACTGTTGCCTTTGGTTTGAACTAATAAAATCACATTATAATAGAACTTTGCGTACAAAATAAATTATTTAGACTGAGTCGTTACAGTCCAATTATTAATGTAGCTTTTGTAATTAAGCCAGGCTATTGTAATATTGAATAATAGTACAATAATGGTCTTTAAAAGTACAACATTGGTTAACTAATGGAAAATAAATAACAAATTTGATTAACATTTTATGAATACAAAATCTAACCGGACAATTAACACAAAACTTATTCAAAAGTGTTTCTAAGGGTACATATAGAGGTTAGGTTTAGGCTAAGCGCCATCTGAGCTCGGCCACCTAAAGCTCGGTGAATCTGTGAATGCCTCTTCAAGGCAAATAGTGGCCATTGAGTCACAAAAAAGGTTACGTACTTACTTTGCAATTTTTGAGGTTACTTCCAGACAGATGTCTAGACAGAGAGAACATTATTGTTAAATTACACTTAATTGTAATAACAAAAGAATCAAGATATTTTTTATTATTTTATTCGATTCCTTTTACATCAGGTATTGGATTAATTAAGCTATGAATAATAAAACTGTTTAACGACTTTTGTATTAACGACATCACTTTCAATTCAGTTCCATTTGTTATTCGAATGCTTTCAATCAATACTGAGAAATAATTCACAAATTAATATTAATGATCAAATCAACAAGGGGTCAAGTGAAAGGATCATTTACGAGAGGGTCGTCAAGTAAAAGGTTATAACCGCATTTCTAAATTTAAATTAAGAGTACCGCCGCACTCAGAATTACGTCAACGGCCGCTAATTGTTAAGGACTAGCTTTAATTAAAAAAACAAAAGTGAGTAGCCTATGTATTCTAGCAGACTACCCCCTATGTCTATGTCAAATTTCATCAAGATCCGTTTGACCGTTTAGGCTAACTCTAACAAACATCCAACCATCCATCTAAACTTCCGTATTTATAATATTATAGTAAGATATAATCGTCAATTTTGACAGTTAAAGATAAGATGTAGGACAAAGGTATAAGAGTATTGAAATATATAAATACATAGTGTACAATTTCCTTCAACAAATCTTTGCTGAAACTCGAATCCAAAGGTCACTCGGTTAAGATTACCAGTTAGTTTACGAGATCAAACAAAGGGCCCTTGTAAACTGATAATTTAATTTGTTACATAAATATTATGATTAAGATCAATAGAGAGAATAAAAGAGACAATTAAATAGTGAAAATTAACTTAAGTTCTCTTAAAACAAAGCGATGTTTTTTTTTAATTATTCATAACACAATTACTAAAAATACCTACGTGCATTTTTATAAAAACAACTAAGTTTAGTAGCTTTATTTTCTACCAATCTACCAAAAAAAGTTTATTGATAGTTACCGTACAAAAACCATTGAGATTTCCGATAAGGACACAATGAAATATGATATTGCTTGCGAAACAATACACAATATTGGATGGTCGATATTGATATGTTTGTTGTGACGCAACAATGGCGCTTATAATTAATATTGTGTCATTTCGCTTCATTTTTTATTATAAAAAGACATATCATAAAACTTTAATAATTAAACTTCTTCAAACAATAATGTCAACGTATTTTTAAAGTATTCGCGAGTAATGAAGGTATGTTGGACCCTTCGAGAATGTTCGATTCTAACCTCCTCTAACAGCAACGGCTTAAACGTTCTAAATATAATTTTTCAACTCGTTGTTCTCCACAGTTTAAATAAAAGTAGCAGTAAGACTTTTTTTTACTAATTTACATGTTTTATTAATTTATTGTTTTAACTATTTCAGAGTCGTCAAGAATACCGCGCGGCGTTCCTCAACTACTGCAACAACCAGAATACGGCTGCACTATCCGCGTACTATGACTCACATAACAACTACGTGCAGCAGCTGACGGCGACCAACGCTATGATAGATCAGTACCACAAGCATACCCTGCCTACAATACTACAGGTAAAACATAACCTTAAACTCTCGTTCTTATTACAAATACTAGCTGTTCCTGTGCGGCTTCATCCGCATGAAAATATGAAAATTTTATTTTATTGTTTACATTTGTCAAATTATCAATAGCAAATGTCAAAATGACAAGACATGCCAAACCTTAGAAATAAGAGAAAACAGAAGGAATAGTGTTGACAGAATTTTTACCATAAATAGCACATACTCGTAATTGTGCTCCAGTTAAATTTTAAGAGAAGTTTTAAATTATATCATTTATTCAAGTTCATTAAAATTCCATTCTAAGCTGGAACACTTGTGCCGGTTCAATATATAGGGCATCGCTATAACCAGTACGGCATGTTGGAGATACCTACCAATGCAATATAAAATCATTAATAAATAACTAGAAATATTAAATATAAAGTACATATACTTTTTCATATAATCAGTGTGTACGTCAGGTCTAAATAGTTCTTGTGTCTGTTTATTTAAGGATATATTACCTAATTAGCTTTGACCCCCAACTCCGTCCGTGTGTACTTAAAAAAAACGATATAAGTAAGCATAGGCTATATGTTCTTCCAAACATCTATGCCAAATTTTATCTAGATCCGTCAGCCGTTAAGGCTTTAAACTAACAAATCTCCATCCATCCATGTAAACTTTAGCATTTACAATATTAGTAAGATATTTGCGAATATGTAATACTCATACTGCGAAAGCAAGGACGTTAGAGGTGGATACGTCGAATTCCAAGAGAATGGCATGTCGCTTGAAATGCTGTTACAAGCGGTTATAATTTCCAGCTACTCGTCTTGTCCGCGTCTTTTTCCAATTGTTAACCCTTTAACTATGCAACGCAACTGTGATGTTATGTGAACTTTTAAAAAAAGCATTCCATTCCCATTGTGAGATCCTAAATTTTGTTATTATTGTGTAGTTTTATTCTGCACAGTTTACAGTAACTATAACTTTATTAACATGCAAAAACACTTATTGTTAGGTAAATATAGAAAGCTTGGAAATTTAAACTCGAGTCCCCTTTTATTTTCACCGACAGCGTTACAACCAGCTGTATAATTCAACAGGTACATTTGCTGTTAAAAGGTGACTTGTTTTGTTAAAATATTTTATGTATACCGAATTCGTTTGTGACGATCGTTAAGTACTATTCAAAAGAGAAATTAAAACTTAATCACTATTTAAAACTGTTTTATAAGCGTGTCGTATTGTATTATTTATTAAGCGGAATCGTTATCTATTCTTAATTTTAAAAAGAGGAAAGATTAGTATTTTTGTATTTTGTATATCTAAAAATAACTTAAAAACTACTGGTCCTATTTCAAATATTCTTTCACAATTAGAAAGCTACGTAACAAAGGCTATGTTTTTTACTATTTTTTTTAATTCCACATACAAAGCCACAAGCAACAGCTAGTAACATGATATCTGAAATTTTTAAATGTTATTGAAGTTTTCATTTTCGGAGTTCTATAAATAAGCTAGCAGGTCATCGATTTTTCGCTACCATACCTTTGTTCTACGAATTATTTTTAACTCCAGTTTATTTTTGGTGTTTCTCTATTCTACATTTAATTTCGCTTCATATATCATCATCAACCTGCCCTTGTCACTACAGACGGTCGACACAGTACGCTGCTCTTTTTATATAGGCCGTCATACCTGAATCCACTCCCTTCTTAAGCATATCACACAATCCATACATACTTTCTTCGGTCTTCCTCTGCCTTTATAGTCATCCACATTCAATCTTAACAATTCCTCTTTCTGAATAAATATAACAAATGTAATAAACCAAGCAAACATTGTGATATAGTTTGTATGTGAGCGGAGTAAATGTGAAGCCAGTCGGTGTTCAATCTTAGTTAGGAAAGTTCAATGAGTTAGCGGGCTGCCGCAGTGTGCACCAACTTTGCTGCGGCCAGCGTAACCACGACCCGACTCGGCGCTGCAAACTGAATTCATTTCCAAACTGAAATCAATGCCGACATTGCACTAATACGAAAACAAAGTCTAGAAATTTCTGTTGTACTATCTTTTGCTTGCGACTTTGTCCGCGTGGAATTCAAAAATATAGCCTACGTTACCCATAAATAAATTACCTTTTTAATAGTGAAAGAATTTTTTACATTAATCGAATACATACAAAAATACAAATCTTTCCTCTTCATAATATTAGTATAGATATAGCTAAAGCGAGACACATTATGATACAGAAATAGCTTACATACGATTTGTGTTTTGTAATTAAATGCCGTCACAGTCGTTTAAGGGAGACACTTATTGTATTTTTATTACGAGAAATGTGCTATTTAAGTGACCAAACGACTCTTACCGCAGACCTCTAATTAACCAAAGAAAAAGCCTTAGACTGTATCGTTACAAGACCCTGGTAAGAATAAATGAAAAAGCGTACTTAACATGATAATTTGCTAGTAAAATGTTTGATGTTTCTATTTCAAATGTGTTCGGCTACGAATTCATTCAATAATGCATTTCACACTATTTCAATTAATATCGTGTATTTGATACGTCCGTTCGTATAATTAATCCGTCTGTTACGTGTTCTGTTCATTCAAGCCATGCTATACGCAACACGTGCCCTAAGTCATTTTAATTAAACCCCTGAAAGGTACCAACTGTACTTATGGAAAACATTCGTTCACACAAGCAATTCATTTCCCAGTTATATTTAACTAGCTGTTCCAGTGCGACTTCATCCGCATAAAATTATGATTTTATTTTATTGTTTACATTTATCAAATTATCAATTGCAAATGTCAAATGAAATGACATGATGACAAACTATGGCAATCCTTGATGTTGGCAGCTTGTAGTTTATGGTGCTTTTCTTACATAAAGGTTTTTTTGCAATTTATTTATCCACAAGTTTAATAGCGTAAAAATATATATTCTAAAGCGTGTCATAAGTATAGGGCCATTTATTATAGAGGAGATTATTCAAAAATATGCTGTGATTGCTGACATCCTACAAAGTAGTGTGTGCTTACGTTTTATTATATCAGTATAGATTAGTTAACGAACTACCCTTAAATTTAATAAAATGTATAACGAAGAAAAACATTACGTATAAACTAAAACAATATTTATGTACGGAAGGCACTAAAGAGTTAGTAAAAAACTACTAAAGTTTATTTAGCGTTTTTTATATGCAACTATTTTTAACTTGATCTTGTATAGTTAAATGATAAATAAAAAAAATCAAATAATACAGAAAAAATAATTAGAATTTAAGTAACATTATTTTTGTACATTTACGTTTTAAACTTGCAATGAAAAAGGTTTTATATTTTTAACTCCCTTTAAAAAAAACGTTAAAACATGGTAACATATCATAGTTTTTACAGACCTTATTCCCCCATATAAAACATACTAATAAACCACTGGAGTAGAGACCCTGATTTGACTAATTTTTCAAGCCACGACCATGGCTCAAGAAGGCGATTACATTAGCATTTTTATCACACCCTCAAAGTTGATACATCATGAATAATACAGCATAATTTTAGTGTATTCAAAGTGTATTTGATTGCAGGAACTTGAAGAGATACTGACCGACGTGACGGCAGCTGTTAGCGAAGCTATTTATCAGGGAGGAGAAATTATCACTGATAAAGTAAGTCTCAGACAAATATAACCAATAAATAACCAGTAAATAACCAGAATATTATAACTAAGTGACCAACATCCACATATGTCATAGTTGACACAGAAAAAGGGAAAAAGGAAAAGAGGGTATAACTTTTTATTTTTAATTTATTGACTACAGATAAAGATCTATTATTATGTTAGTATGTATTTTACTTACTAAGTTAGTTTAATTAATTATAAATTTGATACAGTTATAATTTAATTAGAGCACATGGACGTTTATCCAGTGGGGGGCTGTACATGCGTCTTAATATCTTAAAACCTTATGCCAAGTTTTTTTAACACTAGACCGAGGCAAACTACCAGCGGATCGCCTAATGTTATAAGATTCTGAAACCCGTAGATATGCCCGCAATTGTCGCCGTGAGCAATGACTTTTTTAAATTTTGTATATAGTGCAACAACCAGCTGCGTCGCTACGAGTCTTTGTGCGCTCAGTCCCGCGCTGTATCGAGTACCGCAGACTTGGCGCATCTAGCACGGGCCCTGCTAACCGCTCAGCCACCCGCCAGGGTCCCCCGCCGTGCGTTCATGCCGCCCTACCCGCCAGAGCCCGAAGACCCACCTATCGACGTACCCGCGGTAAATACCAACATATGCCCAAGTATCTTATTATTACAAGACATGGTTTAACTGACATGACAACTTTCGGTATATGCAGTGTAAGTTAAGCCGGCTTTTGTAATTAATATAGTATAATGTCTCACGAAAGTTTTAATAAGTCAAGTGTCATGTTAAAATCCTTGTAATCGACGACTTGTAGTTCAAATTGAGAGAAAACAATCAAAAAAACAAAAAACAATAACAAAGATTAAACCAAACTCGTTGGTTTGACATCCCTAATTTTGAAATCATTGAACAAACAAAATTCGTTAGTAATTCAGAAATATTTTCATATTCAAAACGAATAGAAACGTAATTGAATGCTAAATAACAGTAGAATTTTATATAGGCGTTGTTATTGTGAGGTCGAAAAATTTCACAATTGAAGCACAAAGCTCGGACAACGTGAAAAACTATTTGATGTCCTTTTACAAAATAAATGCGTAAAAACAACTTCAGTGATTTGAAACCGTCAAATCAACGAAGTGGAAAAAATCAATCGAATGTAAAATTTTCTCTGTTGTCCGTCTTATTCGTAAATACATTTATTTGTAATGTGTTTTTCTTATTCACTGACAAAAAAGTAATATTAAACTTTTTAAACTATTGCGACTTAAAATTGTAACAACACGAAAACTAGATTCATACTATAAAAAAATAGTTCAGTAGTTTCTAAAAATACCAACTGATTCAAGTTTTAACTGAAACCTTACTTCAAATTTCATGATCTGTTCGTGTTTAGGAGACAATGCCACCAGTTCTTCGCGGCGAAATGTTGCTCGACCGCATGGATATACGGGAGGCGCGTCTAAACTACGAGCAGCTGAGGAAAGACGCACAGGATTTGGAAATGCAGATCAAGCAGTTACAGGTTAGAAGTCCATACAATATTTAAAAAATAAGTAATTTTAAACAATAATAATAATTTAATACTCTCTAATAGACTATTGACATTGACAGATGTCATAGGGAAGGGACGCGTATGAAAATAAACTAGTGTTGCGCTACTCCGGCACGGTACCGATTTCTTCTTAGCAGTAATGCCTTGTAAAGTGATCACTGCAGTAAGAATTAAGTAAAAAAAAAGAGGGAATGAAAAAAGGATTATTCGTTTTGATTTTGAGTACACAAGTAATATTAAATTTAAAAATCATTGTTTATTCATGAATTAACTGTAATTTAATAGTCGTATTTATAACGATGAGATATATAAAATATTTACCAATGTATGAAATAAATTTTATAATGTCCTGCAGAATGTTTTTAATAAAATTTCACTCTATCCCAGGACGGGTTGGATTCCCTCGCGCGCATACAAAGCCGCAACCTGGAGAGTAATCTCTACAGCAAAGTCAACGAGATACAGGTAAATGTAAACAGCTCTTTAAAGGGTCTACATAAAGGTTCGTGAATTTTATCATTATAATTTATTTAGCCCTATATGGTTACGATAATTGCATTCTAAAATCACATTGACTTAAAGATCTGAAGCTCTGTTTAAAAACGTATCGACTCAGAGTGGTTAAATGGACATTAAGTTTATTGTAGATTTGGTATAAGTGAAATGCACTAATAAAGGATTACTATACCTCCTTTGGAAAGGAAACAAAGCATTTTTGACCTTACTATTAAGACAGTCAAATTTATTTTACAGAGCAACGGCAATATAAAAGCAATTTTACAACCAAACGAAAATGCCTTCCGCAGTATAAAAATAAAAAAGAATGAATGTAAATTATGGGACATCAATGTATGCTATGGGTACACACGAACATTCAGTCGCCATGGCAACTTGCGTGATCAAATACAATTTGTTTTAGCGATATTGACAATATGGCATAAACTATAAACCTAAAAAGACTTGGTACCTAACTTTGATTATAACATTATTCTTTTAAGACAAAAAAAAAGAAAACAATGATTAACTCACTTGTCACACACAGATATTTGTTTGTCGACCAAGGACGGATTCAAGGGGGGGTCATGCGGATCATGACCCCCCCCCTGAGCTGATTAGTCAAGAGCTTGACAAAATGTATTTACATATTTTGTCAAGCTCTAGATTTGATCACGACTGTGTGACCCCCCCCCCTCCCCCTGGCGCAAAAGCTGGAACCGCTCTTGTTGTCGACATACTTCATACTAAACCAATGAAACCATACGACATACTTCATAATACACCATTTAACGACTCTGAGATAGGCTATTGGACGCCATAATAAAAATAAATAATTATAATACTTGTACATTATACGATTGTAATACAATTCAAAATGATTAACCAGTTATTAAAACAAGGACAAGTATTGGGACATCATTAAAATATAACGCTTCAGCAAACAAATCATTATTCGATTACAATTAAATTCCTATGACGTAAGATTGTTTTGATATTTTTAAGATGGATTAAAACATTTTTTTAAAAATCGTGACTTATAAAAATATTATGGTCTCTTTAAGTTCAAAATTAACAACTTTCTTCTCAATTTAAACAACAATATTATGTAATATTGAAATAATTATTTTTTGCTAAAAACCAATACGTTTCAACTATTTTAAAGATATAAAAAAAAGATAAATGGAAAAGCAATACATACTGTGCTGACCCTCCATGGGGAAAAGAATAGAGAAATACTGATAAAGGTGTGTAATTTTTAATTAGAACTGATTAGATAAATGTATTGATAGATAGCACAGATTAACAAATAACTTTTACGAATACAGAACACATCAAAAATAGATAAAAAGCTAACAGAACGAACTTAATAACATTGTTCATTTTTTTTAATAAGTTCCTGATTGTGTATAGCGCCATCTATCGCGCTACAGTAAAAATCTTCCGCTGGCAAACAATGAATGACTTGTCCAATCATATCACTAGATGGAGCTATCACTGACAAATGCTAAAAATAAGCGTATAATTTAATTAGTAAGAAAAACAGATTTATTCCTTAGTTAATGACTATTACATGTTAAAAATCTTACTAAATAGTAATAAACCTATGTGTGTGCAACTAACTGTGCAAAGTCACAGATTTAAAATGTACTTATATTGTGCTAATGAAATAAATTAATTTTAGGAGGATATTTCGCTGAAGAAGTACGACTACAGAGCAACACAGCTGCATTTGGCGGCGGTTAGAGCACAGGTAAATGCATTTGATATAAATATTGACAAACTATTAAATTACTATAAACTATATGTGGAAAACTCAGAGTTTAAATGAGTAGAAAGTTTTCATTTCTTATGAGACAGCAGCGCGAAATAATGATAGATCAGATGTAATAAAGGTTTTATTATTCTAAATATAAGTACATTGTGTGACCTCTTATTTTTTTGTTCGATAGTTCATAATCGATGTAGGCGAATACGTTTTTCATAACGTTTTACAGCAGGAAAAACTAATTAAAAAACACATTTTTGTCATTCACGGCTTCATAAGTATATAAAAAATTTAGAAACGTTTTACAATAAAGGTTATTAAATTGTAAAATTAAAAAAAAATAATCTTCGTTTTTATCTTTACACGGCTTTATAGGTGTTTTAAAAAATATGAAGCTGAGACCAGACATTACACGCATGCGCGCTGAATTATGCACTTCGTCTATATTACTAATCAATATTTATGAAATATTTACAAGATCGTAACCAATTACTCTTATAAATTATCACATATTATTCAAAATATTTAGATTTTTCTTATAGTCGATATTAATGACGTTTTAAATTGATAAGGGTAAAACTTATTGTTTTTTTTTATTCATGTAAACAAAGAACACTTATGTATTGACATCAACCTAAGGATATTTTGTACTGTGTCGCAATGCGCACAGCCTCCTACAGTTCATTCAGTCTGAGAAGAGATCTCGCGGACTAACATAACCTAAAAATTCACACTACGTTACATATTTGATTATATTTGTAGATTCGCAAATAAGACCATAATTTTCCGTCCATTAACAGTTTTTATTAATTCGCAAAAACGGATAATAAAAGGAAAATAAAATATCGTGTAAAAATGGGGTGGATTTCTATGAAAAATCATATGGTAAGTGTAATGTATTATTTTATTGTATAATTATGTATTACAGTAAAAATTAGTGTCATTAGGTAATAATAATAGTATAGTTAGATATGTATGATATTTAATGTGTAAAGTCGAATAAATACGTTAGTATTTTTATAGTCAATGTCAAGTTATCAACGTTCTCAAAGTATTCGTTTCTTGCTTGCGTTAAGATGTTTTTTAAAAAGGTAGTGTAGTAAATTCGAAAATAATTATTAAATTTATTAGATGTAGAATAAAAATTAAAACAGATCTTTACGATTTAGAAAGAAAAATAGAATAACATTTACGAACTTAAACGTACTTCCAAAAAATATTGTTTCATTAAAAAACATGTAACATGTATAATCATAATTTAAACTTATAAAAAAAGTAATAAAACTATAAATGTACCTAAAGTACATATGTTAGTATAATTTTCTATGAATTTTAATTCAAGGGAATATTGATTATTTATACAAACTTAATACAAAATATATCAACTATCATAACGTACGATTTCTATTGATCTTAAAAAATATCTCCGCCCGAGTCTTATTTTAATCATCTGAAAACCAAATGAAACCACAAACGCGAACACTTCAGTGAACAGTTTTCCCGCGCCGCCCGCCGCGTAGCGACTTGAAGTCGTAGCGGATAAATTCGGAACTATTTACGTCAATGAAATGAAGTGAAGTTGGCTGGCAGTAGGCTAGGCAGGTTAGGTTATCTATCCGTGTTTGTAATATGACTGTAATCTTTGCTGTGTCTGGTCTGGTTCAATAGTGGTTTGTACAATGTGCATGTGTTGTGATCTATGAAAATATTGTACAAGTATAAACGAAGAGTTTTATAGAACACAACAGTGAAAATTAGATATACGTATCAACGGGTTGTCAAGGTAAGATTTTGTGTGTTTATACATTTTACTATTATATAATGTAATATATCGTAAATAACTTAAGTTGTGTAGATAAATACAATAATATCAATAATAAATTGTAAAACTGTTCGACTATAAAAACTTATAAAAAAGTAAACTAACAAATGCTTCGATGTTAAAGCGTTTTAAAATGTTACAAATATAACCTAAAATGCATATCTATTTTATCTATATAATCATCTAATAGATATACGAATATAATAAAGTTCGTACAGACATGTTAGCATTTTGAGATTTATTAAAAACTCTTGTTTCCATGTCAAAATCATCTGTCTAAAATTTGCGCGGGAAATTTTGTGACGTATCGTAGCTTTCCACAACTACAAACTTTTAAATTAACTTGAAGACAGTTTTACTATGCGCTTAGACTGATACAACTAATTTATTTTACTCTTCTTTCAGGTGAAAAAGGTTTGGGTTTAATTTTACGTGCTTACTCTGGTTATTATGAAACCAGTAACATTGAAAAGAAACAGTGATCATTCCGAGGATGACCTTGTACGATATAAAATAAATAAAAAATACATAAACAATGTTAACAAATCAACTGCCAAGAAAACAAAGAAAGAAACCGTGGATATTGATGACGACACTATTCGTTACAAATTGCCTACAATTTCAACAAAAACAAACAAAGAGAAAAAGCCGAAAACCAAAACAAAAATTAAAGTTAATTTTTGGAGCAATAAACTAACAAATCGATTAAAAAACACCGGAACTAAGAGAAACCAATCAAACCAAACAAATACCGAAGAACCAAATATAACCTCTTTATTATTTAAACCAAAATCTACAGATGTGAAGGTTCGAAAGCAAGTCTCATTCCTTCCTTCACCTCTCTTCTTGGACAACCATGTGCCAATGGTTGCTGTGCCCGATGATTTAACATTACAACTGAATGAACAAGAGGCAAATGACTTACATGTTGATTTAAATGACACCCAGACAAATACAAGTGAAGATTCAAATACACCTAATGAAAGTAAAGTAAACTCACAAGCGAGTCCTAGAAGTAATAGACATAAAAGAGGCCTTAATAACAATGACAGGAGTCAAGGTAATGAGAACGAGCTTGAATTCTTCTCCAAATATGTTGTTCAGAAATTAAGAAGAATGGAAACGAATCAACGGATATATTCTGAGAATTTAATAAACACTGTACTAATGTTAGGCCAGTTAGGGAAACTAAATGGAAAGTCAAAAGTTAGTGAGCCATAATAGTGTTTTTACTTAGGTTGTGGTTTTTAAGCTTGTTTTTACATGTTATGTGATTGCCTTTTTTTATATATTATGAGGTGGCAAAGGAGCAAGCGGCCACCTGAATCCCCCAAAATGGCAAAGCGACTGCTGGCCATTGACATTCACAATAGCGGATGCATTGTCTACCCTTAATAGACAGAGGAGGAGACGCACATAAAGAAAATGTTTCCCCTTCTATGCGTCTCCCCCGCCGTCAAATCCACGTCCCGTCCTAACCTATTCTTATGAGGAAAAGGGACTAAAGTTGGGCCTCCTGCCTTTTAATACATAAGTACAAATTATTTTATTACATGACAATATGTAATGTAATAATCAGTACATATTGAAAATAAAATATCTTCCTTTAAATACCTAAAAGTACATATCTTTGTTGTTACCATTTACTTTATACTTTCTTTACTGATTTTTAAACATTTACAACTGGGTATTTTGTTTTCATTTTAAGATGTTTTCCATTAATTGTTAAACAAAGTAGCTTGTTGCAAATTGTTTATGTATTACTCATAAAATAGTAAATGCACAATTAATGTTATTTAAGGGTTGTACTATGAGTATGTACAATAATGATGTAACAAAAATATTTTTATATACATTTTAATGTACTCATATTTTACATTACTTTGGTCTCATAATGTATATTTTTTGAAATAAATACAAGTAGTGTTGAAGCTCCATTAAAAACAATTATTTCTAAGTTATTTAAACACATATTTTTATTAAATTTTATTAACATATATAACGTTTTTTTACTAATCTGTGATGGCATTGTGCGAAAGAATATAATGTGTGGCTGTCATTGTTTAAACGTTTGTAAAATTCATAGTCAATCATCTCTATGATTGTCTTTGAAAAAAACAGTGTTTGATTAATGAAATAACAGTGTCTAAAGAATAATATAGAACATGCTAGAAACTAAAAAATAAATTTTTACAGATTATAATGTTGTAAATTCAAAAGTTATATGCATAAATAACAACTGTTGAATTTTGAATAAATAAACGAGGTTCTGTTGTTTCTAAAAGTGTTTTATTTTTTACTATTTTTTTGTTTTATAAAACAGCCTATGCAAAAAGATGCCATTTTTTTTTTAATTTAACTGACTAATTATTCTTAAAAACTATGTGCTTGCTTTTTCATATTTTTAATGCAATAAATTAGTATCCAATAGTAAACATCTAATAAGCTTTTACTGATTTATCTATCTTAATTTTCTTTCTATATTTTAACAGAGCATTTGTAAATTTTTTAAAAAACTATAATTTTGTACCATTTCAAGTTGTTGTTTATGTTACCAATTATGTCTCGAATTCTGGTATACAATAGACGAATGGGGGCATCCGAACCCTTAACCTAACCTTATTGGTTTCGAATAAATAAATATATTTTATAAACAAACAATTAGAAACAATGACGTCTTAATTAGTCTAATTAAATTACTTCGAGTGTTTAACGCACACGCAAGCACGTTCGTTCTGTTACTATGTCCCAGTCCTAATAAAGATAATGATAGAATATTCTAGAATACATGACTTTTTCGTCTTGTGCTATACTTTGTGATATTTAATTATTAAACACTTTGTTTACCATCTAGTATTGTCTATACTAATATACAGCAGAACGTTTTGTATTTTTATATGTATTGAAATAACTCAAAAACTGCTGGGCCGATTTCAAAAATTCTGACACCATTACAAAACTACGTTATCGCGGAGTAACAGACTATATCTATAGGACGAAGTCGCAAGTAACAGTCTAGTCTTGAATATTTTTGGGTTCGTTTTTTGCATTTACAAATTCCAGCAATTCATTGTAAATGGATTTCAGTAATAGGTATAATAGTACTTATGTACTATTGCTGTGTCGCGTGATAAGGTAAAAAAGTCAATACTCTAGGGCAACATTACTGTCCTAAAAAATATTTTTTAGGCGGGTATAATTAAAAGCGATAATATTATCGTTAAAAAGATTCTATGCCGTTGTATGAAGATCTAGCAAAAGTTTTGTTAATTTTGAAGTAGACTGAAATGTTTTAGAGAATTCTGTCTGAAAATATATTCTTTCTAAATATAACGTTTTCATTTTTTATGTTTAAAATGTTCTAACAACCATATCGTACATTTTGCGTTTCCAATATTTAAGTGAATCCAGTTTAAATCTAACTGCTAATTTAAACTACTTTTAGTATTTTATGCTATATAACGCACATTTTGGAAATGTCAAATACAGTGTTTTCTGAAATGTCCATAAAAATGTATTGATAATTTATTGAAAATTTATATGTAACTTAAAATACGGGATTAAATGAAATTTAAAACAATGTTTTAATAGTAACCATCTTTTATCACAAGCTTTATTTGTCCTCTGAAAAACTGAAGTCCCATTTCAGTCTTTCAGGGGAAATTTAAGTAACCCTAAAAACAATACATATGTGTCATTTGTCCTACTTTGAAATGCAGTATACGGATTGCGTTTTCGTTCTCTGCGGAGCCATCTATTTACCAGCTGACTCCATTTGACTGTGTCAAAGGAGGCCATTCGCTGTGTTGACTTTGGAATTTACGATAGATTTTGTGCCAGTACGAAAATGACTGTATTTTCGTGTTTCACCTTAGCTTTTAATAATTTATTGACATTAAAACCTAAAGATTTTTTGTGTTTAATTCATGTACAAATTTAAGTGAAAATATAAGAAACAAAAAACTTTAGCCTTTGTGTTCTTCCAGACTATGTTCTACCTCTATGCCAAACATCGAAATACATTCGACCGTTTAGGCTGTAAACTCTTACAAACATCCATCAATCCATCTAAACTTTCGCGTCTATAATATTAGTAAGATGTAGGAAAATACCTAAGCACAAATCCCTCCAATGGTATGCAGGTACTTCCAACATAATTGGTTGATGATAGTCTAAATATATTAGTGGCTGTTTAATTATATCAAGCAGATTAAGGTCAAACCAATTTGCTTCAACCTACTTGTTCGTCTCCGATTAGAGAACAAAGAATTTTATTATGCAACGTATCGTATTGTAAACATTTATCCTCCCATCCTAGCAGTTAATTAACAAATATGCAATTAACTCATAATTTATAAATCTCCGATATTATTGTCATTATGAAGCCGACCGTTAGCTATTCGAGTCATAGAATAAAAACTTAATTCTGAATAGGCTATCTTTAACCCTTTAGGTTTTTCAATCGAAAAACGCGTGTTGTTAGAAAACGGTTGCCAGGCGACGCCAGAAATCCGCCACGCTACATCCGGCGCCCGTCGCCGCTAACGGCAGTCGCATCACGTCCGACGTTGCACATGGACGTGTGCCGCGCTATTCCAGCGTCGCTCCTTACGTGGATCTCCTTTACCACTTTGTTAACTTAATTACAATATGTGACTTTCATAGTGCTTTTCTTTTAGTTCTTAACTATTCCAGACTTTTAACCTCTATTAAAATTTTTATTATTAATTTTAATTTATAATAAATAATCATTATTCCATTAAAGTTTGCGATAATTTTAATATAATGGATCTAGTACATCGATTGCATTATCTGGTGCTATCCCAAAAGTCCGATCTCATGACAATGGAACGAGAACAGCGAATGCGGATGCGGCGACAGTCCAGCTTGCCCGAGTACAGTAAAAATAAGAGTCGACAGAGATTGGAACAAGCCTATTTCAATGATGTAAGTTCTTGTAAATTATTCTAAATATTTACATTTGTCTCAAAACTTAATCACATATTTGTTTTTAAATTACTGTAATCTCTTGGATTTTACTAGACATTTGTTTGTCGTTGAAATCTTTTCAACGTTTTCCTAAACTATTTAGTCAATTTCAACTTTTCAATAAGAACGAGATAAGTCCTTCGCGAACAGCTTCATTGAAGAATTGATTGTCTACACGACTAATTATTAAGAGGACTGTATATTTTTTTTTTTGCCAGCAAGCAGTATACTGCATTTTGGGAAATTGCAATGATGAATGAATTGGGAAGGAATTTTTGCGATAATATTGGTACATGTAAAGAGATGCATATTTACTATCTTATGAATTAATTTTTATAAAAATTTTACGATTATTAAACTATTTTTGTTTACTAACGAACGGCAAAGTTTTGGCTTTTCAGAAAGAGATTTATAAAAATAGTTTGTGGCGAAATAAATATCATTTATTAAATTATAAGTAAAAAATCACATGCTTTAAGTAAATATTGTTATTTGTTGAATCTGTATTCAATACAAACCTATTTAAAACTTACAATATTTTTATTATAAAACAATATTTAATTAAACGCTGCGTTGCGGCTGCCGGACTTCGTGTTTTCAATTTCGTCTCTATTCTTTCAACTAATCAATTTCCATTTGTTGTACATGTACCCAAATTTAATTTCGCACTTATACTACTTTTTAATTTGAATCTCAAGCCAAACTGTAAGCATATTTTTATTTGTCTACACTAACAAAATTATATTACATTGTATTTTATTAATGTTATGAATAAACTCTAAAACTACTTGTTCGATTTCAAAAAATATTTTGGCAATAGAAAGCTACATTATAACTGTGTAACAATAACCCAGGCTTTGTTCAAAATGTTTTAAAAATAAATGTCCAGCCGTGCGAATATTGGACGGGCCGCTAGTGTAAAATAACTTCAATACACCAAAATTCGCAAACATAATTATTTCTTTGACGCTGCTTTATAACTTTTTCGACGAATATAAATTAGCTAAATTTCGTCAACAAACGTCTTACAGAGAATACAAAATTCGTTTTACTAGATTTGTCGAATTAAATTTTCGTCCACTCGACTGATCTTGAGTGGTTTGCTGAACGTTGGATCAGAGGATTTTGATAATAAAAATTCTACTATTCCTACCGAATCAAATGGGAGCTATGAAAGTTTTCACATAGCAGTACATTAGGTAGTTACAACATCTATTTCGCCCAAAGCAGAGTTACATCAAGACGTAGATACTAACAGACGGTCGTAAAAAAATCGTAATACGACACGGATTATATGATAAAAGGTGAAGTGGTATTAAAAATAATAGCACGATTTATCTAAGACGTTTGTCTCTTTACTATGTACTTTTAAATTTATGTGACTGTTAGAAATTGATGATTTTTGATAACGAAATTAAATGTAACATACTTAACAATAAAGATGAAAATACATATTAAAATCTCGTCACAAGTTTTTTAACCTTTAATAAGTATCACAATAAACAGTATAATTATTGTCTATGGTTTCTTCGTAAATATTTACAAGATATATTAAGCTAATAAGTTGGTTTTAAAAGTCAAGGGCAATACTTGACTTGCACTGATACGGTACTGAAGATGCTCTTAAACAAGATAGACTTTTACGGCTTCGACGTCTTCCCAAAGATTGTAATCGTAATACAAACGGAATACGGATATCTCGTCAACATCGAGTACTAAAATCGGAAACCGCGATGCGAATAATTGCGTCTTTACGAGGTTTGTCTTAGGAACAATTGCACTGCTGTTATTTTTTTTTATATTATAAAGTTGCAAACGAGCAAGCGGACACCTAAATCCGCCAAAATTGCGAAACGACCGCTGCCCATAGACATTCGTAATAGCGGAT